TATTGATAAGAATTTATTACAGATATCTATGCTGAGATAACCCCAACCATATTAAATCCATATCTATCACAAAATCTCAGTCCTATGGTGAGGTATTGCGCATGCGCTGACACACTAACGTAGCCAGATTGTGTACTGACTGGTATATGCAGCGTGGACATTACATGCAAGGTCTTCTTCCTTTTTCTTATGTGAGGTCTACTGATAGAATGTTATCATGTAGATCTATGCAAGGATAACTCGTCTTCATTTGAAATGCATAATCTTTGCAAAAATATTATTCTTCTCGTGAGATATTGTGCATGCGCGAGCACCGTTTCGCGCGTGCAGCACAGACTAAAGAAAACTGCATAATATAGCTTGCTGAGGATGAGAGGGGTGGGAAACTTAGGACAGGCAGCAGGAAAGGTAGCTGAGTGGGCGGTCGAAGAAGATACAAGGTTGAGCGAGGGACACGGGTGGCAAGGGGTAGGACGGGAGCGGGGTGAATTAGATGTTTTGCACCCTACAGGCTAGGGCGCTCTCCTAATGATGAACACAGGTCTATTGATAAGAATTTATTACAGATATCTATGCTGAAATACCCCCAACCATATTAAATGCATATCTATTACAAAATCTCAGTTCTATGGTGAGATATTGCGCATGCGCTGACACAATAACGTATAGCCAGATTGTGTACTGACTGGCATATGCAGCAGAGACCTTACGTGCAAGGTCGTCTTCCGATTTCTTAATTGAGGTCTACTGGTGGCATTTCATAATGTAAATCTATTCGAGAATAACTCCTCTTCATTTTAAATGCATAATCTTGGCTAAATATTGGTTTTCTCGGAAGATATTACGCATGCGCGAACAACCGCTTCAGGCGTGCAGTATACTGACTGAAGAAAACTGCATAATATAGCATGCTGAGGGTGAGAGGGGTGGGAGGCTGAGGAAAGGCGGCAGGGCAGGTAGCTGAGTGGGCGGTAGGAAAAGAAGCAGGCTGAGCGAGGGACAAGAGAGGCAAGGGGAAGGACGTGTGGTGATGATGTATGAGTTTTGCGTCTATGAGTCTTATCATGTAAGGATCCATGCTAGGATAACTGTCATAGATGTAACCTGTATGATACAGGCGGTTCCGGTTCCGCTTCACTACACTAACGTTAGTGTAGTGAAGCGGAACCGGAACCGCCTGTATCATACAGGTTATCATAGATGGCAATATGTGTGACCTATACAAAACATGCAACTATGTGCCGAGCTTTTATCACATTAATCAAACAATGTTTGCTTGAAAATATATCAAGTGAGCGCATTCTCCCCATTAGTTTAACCAGGAAAATCTTCATACGCATCTGTCACTTGTCGCACCATATTTACTCATAACAAAACGAGAGACCATAGTTCGAGCATGCCCAGCATTTGCCAAATAAACTGGTCGTTTGTTGAAATTTCACGAAAGAGAGCACCTTTAAAATTTAAAACACCCTTTACCGATATTTAGGTGTCCCGGGCTGATATAACGCTGGTAAAATTTAAATCAGTCAACAGAGGGCGATGTGTGACCTATATGGCACATGGAGCAGTATTCGCAGCCTGATGTATTCGCAGCAGTGAACGATTTTTACCAAATGCCCCACTCGTATTTCTTCGAATTTAGACAATCATTTTTTTAAATAAATATAACTCTCTCGTCCTGATGGATTGCATACATATACTATAGAGAGAGACAACATAAATTGAGAAATACGAGCTCTGCACTATTACACTAATCACCTCTTACATTAGTAACCTGGGATGTATAGAACCTAGACAATCAGTATCGCTGGACATGCTTTTGTTATTCAACGTAATCACAATGAATAAAATGTCGGGCGTGACGTCGATCCCAATTACCTCTTGATCCACACAATTATCAACTGGATCGGAAGAATACAAGTTCATGAGCGTGTTCGACACACGCAGAACTTGCATACAGAATATGCGTATGCAAGTTATATGTGTGATAGCCGTGAGCAGCTCTGCTGTTATATACAGGTGATCGATTGCACTGTATAATTAAGTGCCTGACACTCAATGCGACGGCGATTCATGAATAGGTGGCAGTTTTATAGGGCAGGCCGCAAACACAGGGTTGACTACATATTAATATGCAATGTATGAAGGTATTCTTATTTTCGAAAATTGATGTGCTCAAAATAATGTTAATGTCGCATACGACATGTCCTTATACGTTAGTCAATCGGTGTGCTTCTGCATGCAGGTATTGTCTATATACCCACGTACGATTAGATAAGTCAATAATAAATGGCAAGTTGTGACATATATTGACTGTTGTTATCGAGATACGCCTTAGTGCCATCACCTTCAGGTCTAGCGCGGTGCTTACCTGGTAATGGGGGCATGTGTGTATATAGATATCAAGAGCTCACTAACCCCATTTGATAGTTAATGGGTTAATGGGCTCTTGTAGATATGCATTCGCAGATATAGATACTCAAATAGGCAACTAGTGCAGTCTGAGCCTAACCGTCGCAGTGTCCACGCCGGTTTTATAGCAGCGATATTTTACGCGTCTGCACTGTTTTCAAGCTTTACAAGGGCGGTCATATGCATCAGTAGCCGTAAAAATCACCAATTAATTTGCGTGTCTTTCACGTCAGCATGTTTTTACAGCTAGTGTTAGTGGCGGCGGCTGCCTACGTCATTTATAGCGTGTTTTACGCTCACACACCGCTGCCAGTCTGCGGCAAATACGCCGAACCAGGTAAACGCGTTTTTTATTCTAAACAATAACATCAGACACTATTGCTAGACGCTATTACTAGACAGTATTACTAAATACTAATAGTTTTTAATTGCTTAACAGTAACTCGGTTCTTATCGCAGGTCGCTGGTATGCCGCTAAACGCGCTATAATCTACATTTATTGCGTGGTAAGGAAGTGGAGGCAGTCAGACGAGGAGCAACCAAGCGTGGAATCACCACGGATTAAAGAAGACTTTCAAATTGCGAAACAGGAACACCCGCAATGCCTTTCATCGCACCCAAGTGTAAAACCGCCTTTAATATTTAATGATTAGTGATTGATGTGTGATTGATAGATATTATATTATGTTATATTCAATTATATTTTTGATGTACTGTCATTAGATCACACGGTATTAATTATATATATATATATATATATATATATATATATATATAATTATTCAACAAGCAAGGTATATAATTAGCACGTGTTAACAGGTTCTTATTCTTGTTGCAATATCCTTCAATATGCCTCGATCGTACACTAAAAGTAGTGATGGCTGCATCTGCATAACGAATAAAGACATGGCTTCTTCTTCGTCATCGTTTTTTCTCCTTCTCCTCTTCTTCTTCCTATTCGTCTTCCTCTTCTTCTTCTTCTTCTTATTCTTTCTCGTCGTCGTCATTTCCTTTTTTTCTTCTTCTTCTTTATTTTCGTCGTCGTTCTTCTTGTACTATTTTCCCTTTTCACCCCCCCCCCCATGTACGTATACGTTCACCTAAACACATGTATGCGTAAATATACTGCAGGCATTTGACTGCATGAATATCAATGGACTTGACAGCCATGGAAACAAACTGGTGGCTCGCATCAACAGACTACCTGGCCGAGTTGCCGAGGTACATTAGCTAGCGATAAACCATTATTCATACTTTACCTACAAATATAGGGTAGTGCATAATTACTAATCTTTATCATTTCCTTGGAGTTTTCACCTTTATCTCATTTCATTTGCGTTTTTTAACTTGTATTTTATATAGTTTTTTTTTCGTACGATAATTTATTTGTTGTTCTGGGCATAGACGGACACCGGGCTCTGACTACACACAGAGATAAACGGATATGTGTCACCTACTTATAAATCATGTGTATACGAACCTTATTCGCCTACTAGACTTCCTAATGCTTAATCAAGATGGGTTTGAAAACACAGCTTTAGCTCCCGCTAACCTTAGTTCAATTAATTATTCATGTGCATCCATCTGTCTCTGCCGTTCCTGTACATAATAGCCGTAAAGAACGAAGCATTTGCAACGAGTATTGCACAAATGCTTTAGGTATGGTTGATGCTAAAGCTAGGAGATGGTCGCTACTTCCACTTCCCCGGATTTCCCGACTCAAAAGTGTACAACACTGACGATCAGACCTTCACAGCCGGCGGTCTGCAGTTTGAAGTGCTGGAACCGATGCTGAAATGGAGAATCACATTTAATGGACTTCTCAGGTATGAATGTACTATATGAACGTGTACCAAGATCGCCACATGCGGGCATGTGTGTGTACGCGTGCTCTGTGTGAGTGAGTGTTAAGGCCTATTTACACGATGCGTCCTAGACGTACGTCTGTCGCATCAGTCAGACGCATACGTCCAAAACGCACCGTGTAAACTATGCGGTACGACACGATTTTATGACCCCTGCGATATCGGATGCACTAGACGCATGTTCTAATTTCTTCCGACATCGTAAGCAGGACGCAAGAACCCGCGATAATCAGGTGCGTGAGATTGGTCACGCTGCTTAAGTCTCTTCGCGATGAACGAGTGTTGACAGCATGCCATCGCCCCGCCTGTGAGTGCGGAGATAAACGTCTCTGCAGCACGAAATTGTTCCCATCATATTGGTTGTAAGAAGGCTTGGATCTTATTCGGTGTCGACCTTTCTGCAAAGGAGTCTTCTTGGAAGTGTCCATGTCCATACCTACAAAATTGTGGAAAGCTTTCGGTCTTCTGCCTCCAAATCTAATGTTTTGAAAGTGCATGATGATATGCTCCAGTATTGTCTCCCTCCTGGCGATCCCAGGTCCTCACCCAAACTCGTCTCTTCTTTTGCGAAATTTCACTTTTTTTTTCTTAATTCCTGCCAAAGAAAAGAACGCTAGGCAATTTGTCTTGCAGCCGTCGTGTACGTGTTTCTCCCATGGCGCCTGCCCGTGAACTTACTTTGTCCTGGACGACGAACAACAAATCTTCCGTGGTAAACATATACCGTTGGTCAAAGACGATATCGGGTAAATCTGATAAGGCCTGGACGTACTTCTAGGACGCAATCGTGTAAATAGAGCCTTCTGTTCGCATGTCTCGCGCGCGTTGTTGCGAAATATAATAGTAATATATATAATATAATATAATATAATAGATGAATATAATATAATATAAATATATATAATATAATATAAATATAATATAATATGATATAAGATATAATATAGAATAATATAATATAATATAATATAATATAATATAATATAATATAATATAATATAATATAATATAATATAATATATACATGTAAATAATTATATAATTAAAAATGGAACTAAGTGAAATAATAAATTAATAAAAATAACCAATAGTGGAAATTTTCATAATTTAAATATTAAATTTAATCATAATTCTATTCTCATCTAGGGAAGGTCAGAGGAACGAGTGGGATGAACAAAATGAAGGAAATCTGATTCACGTACAATTCTGCTTTGTGTAAGTAGTAATTTTTGTCCTAATTATTGTAGTAATTACTATTATTTAGAATGTATTCGATTATTTACTTCATAGTTTATGGGCGAATTCTTTGCATCCAGATATCAGGTTTTTGGCACAAGAATAATTTATTATCAGTTATTTATATCAACTGAAGGTTTTATTGTTTGCCATTATCACCACTCTTGTTTTTAACAATGCTGATTAATAAGGTGGACGGCGCTGACTGGGCAGTTTTCTTTTAACGACGACATTGATCCAATCACGATATCTGACAGCATTGCTAGAGAAAAGTGGAGTCTAAACTACCTGAAAACAATTAAGGAGCTCAGGTAAACTAAGTTAGGCGTCTTTATTATTATTATTATATTATTATTATTATTATTAACTATACTTGTTATCAGGTTATTGCTATGAGTTGATAGTGCGTATGAATTCTAACAAGTACATACTTGGAACTGTACTTGTATGTGAATTGTATATTTGTGATGTGTTTCTGCAGTAGGAAACATCGTAGGTATGAAGTCTGTGGGCAGCTCTTTGGAAAGCTGAATGTGGCCGAAGAGTCTGAGAGGACATTGATCTTAAGAGGAGTCAGGGAGCACTCCTGGGGCATCCGAGACTGGGAAACATACAACAGATATATCGCCAACTGGGGTTATCTGGACGTATGTCAATATTATCATGATATATATATTTACACGTATTCGATAAAAATCGGGTTTGTTTTTTGGTGCGTGATAGTGTCTTTACTTGCGGTTGATTGTGACCGCAATTTAAACATTATATTTTGTTGCAGGACGGGACCCTGTATTCTTTTTCCGTGGCAAGTTTTCCAGGAATTTTATCCCAGTGAGTTCCAGGATAATACGTTTTCCATTCTTTTGGCATCGTACCACACTTGGCACACCCAAGATTACTGGGGAATTGAGGAATTTTAAAGGTTTTAATACATCATTTATAAAGCATTTATAATGACAATTATTATTGCATTACGTCTATATGGGGCATTTATGGGGACGATGGTCTATGGGTCTATGGGTCTATGGGGACGATTAACATAATTTTTTACGTTTTATTTAGTTTCGTCACTGGCTACATTTTCTGGCCCAGCGGTCAACAAGTTATTCTCAAGTCAACAGACCTTCACTTGTCTCGGCTCGGAGAGTTCACCAAAGCTCCTGATAAGTTCAGCTTTACTGCTCTTGCGGGTGGGTGCTGAGATGCAAGGCCGTACGCAGGAAATTTTCTGTAGGGGGGCAAAGGTACTCCCCATACCCCCTGTGCCCTAAAGTTTCGCAATTTCACATTTCTTTATTTAAAGTAATATTTCTTTGATGATTTAAGATAAACTTTTGTCACATTTCTTTTTTATTTCTAAAAGTGTACAGTATTTGTCCCATTAAAAGGCATACTCTGAAAATCTCTAGGGGCAACTGCCCCTGCTGCCCCCCTGCTGCGTACGGCCCTGCTGAGATGATTTATTCGGCTGCTGAGCCCGCAGTATATTTATTCATTCTAACGCCCCCGGAACTATATTTATATAGTCTGTATAAAGGAGCTTATCTAGGCCCAATAGCAATGGTTCCAAACAATTTGCACATGAGACACATAATCTGCTGGTAACTATTAAGTTCCAAGGTTGTTGAACCGAGCCTTAGTTCGCTGTAAACATTTGCTCGTTTGTGTAACGTAAGTTGTGGGAAGGAAAAGAATCGTCGCAGCGACCGTTCTTCTATCGCCCTAATAGTGTGCGTAATGGATGACATCATAACTCCAGTCAAACCGCTCTGTTAGTGACCACCTATATATATATATATATATATATAACGGTATCTATCCTTAAATGCCACTTTGGCGTTTACACTGAATGGGAGTCATACAGTGATCTCCCTCTATAGCGCGGCCATCTACCTATTATCTGGGAACCGGAAAATGCCTGAGAAATCTTTCGGGAATTCGGGAATAGATGCCAACCGGAGCAGGGAAAGCTGAAATAGCGATTTTAATTAACCGGGAAGTGGGAAATGACACATTTTCACCTGGAGTATTTCGAATGCCACCTCCGCATACATAACATAGGCATACAGAGCTACATACATACATACATAGCATACATACATACATACATACATCGATACAGTAGATACATACATACGTTACATAATACATTACATTACTATACATAGCATACAGTACATACATACATACATACATAGCATCATACATACATACATAGCCAGTACATGACATACATACATAGCATACATACATACGATAATACATCACGATACCATACATAGCATACGAACTCAAATATATATTATGATTTGGGAACGAT